CTTTACAATTCTTGGCACCACAAACTCTTTGAGTATGTTGGACTGGGGATGTTGAGGATGGGCTGCTGCTAGGGGCTTATGCAACTGTGGCATTGTGGATGGCCTGAGCTGAGGTGAGGGGTTCTGCCTGGGAAGCAGTGGGAAGGGGATATGGTTTGGGGCATCTTGGAGAGTTTGGCGAGAGAAATCAGGAGCCCGCTGCACAGCCTGGAAGTTCATTGTTAACCAGGGTTAGAACTGTCCCTTCTCACTCCAGCCTGTCTGACCATGCTGAGAAGACTTGGGTTTTATAAGCTATGGCCCAACCATCTCTGTCACACTTTAGACTTAAGCAATGCCAGGCAGGGCAGGAGAGCTCCACTTAGCGGGCAAAAGCAGTGCAAGATAATTCCTGTACAGAACTTGCCTCTGGACCTGTTGGTGTCCCCAGTGCTGCAGCTGTCTTCCTGAAGCACTTGAGTAGCACTGAAGCACAGGCTGGAGGGGGAGGCTGCAGACCATGCAGCAGCTGACTTAATGGAATGGCCTAGTTTCCTTTAGAAAGTTGAATCTTGCCAAGAAACTGGAGCATCCAGGCTGCTCAGAAATTAATGGATGACCTAGTACCAAATTACTCCTTGGGAGGAGCCATGCTGAGACTTTGTGCCCAGGAGAGTGGCTTTTGAAGTGCAAATTTAAGGGGTGGGGAATTGATCATGAAGGTTCTTCAGTAACTAGTATAAAACACATTGGTACGCTCCAGCTAGCCCGATTTGGAAGAGGTCAGCTTGCAGATAGACAGGAGGGAGTTGATCTGGAACCTTTGGCCAGTGCTGAGTCTTACTCTGGGGGAGAGGTGGCATCCAGGGGCACCTGGACTTCTAACTCAGGCAAGTTGCAGGCAACAGCTCAGTGAAACTACCACAGAACTGCCTTCCCCACGGGGCCTGCCTCCCATTCGTCTTCCAATCTGTAGCTCTACAGAAGTAACAGATTTTGGGGGTTGAATTAAAAAAATAAATAAATGGGAAAGGTTGGGGATGGGGTCTCCATTTTGTTTTGGAGCTCCTGAAATATTTAGTTTGTTCCAAAATGTCTTGTGTTGGTTTTGGAAGTAGTTAATGCTTTTAAGGCATTTCTTTAAAGTTTAGGTCCATTTCAATACTAATTATGAAAATGAGTCATTTTGGAAAATGTCAAAACAAAATATTGACTCTTCTTAAACTTCTGGCTTTTACTTGGATGGGAGCTACCCACTGACTTCAGCTGTATCATTTTAGTCATCCTGAAAATACAGTTTCAGGAAATTTGATTATTTGATTATAAAAGCCCCCAAACCAAACTAGCAGCCTCCCACTGCCTGCCTACCCCTCTGCCCAGCTCTTTCTGCATTTGAATGCCTGTGACTGCAGAGCTGGGCAGCAGAGTCCTTCAGGATGTGTTCAGGCTGTCACGGTCTCTCAGACAACATTGTGTTGACTGAAGGGCTGAGAGACTTGCATCCTCACATTACCAGAGCCCAACCCACACGACATGCATCTCTCAACACCCTGTACAAAAGACTGTTGTCTGCACCGAGTGACATGCCTATAGTCCCAAGAAGTTGAAGCCAGAAAGCTTGGAACTGAGCCTAAATGTCGAAGTCCTAGTTTGGTACCTTTTCTACTAGGCTGTTCTTCATCATGATCTTTCTTAAGAAGCTTGGGCCCAGGTCTCCCTTCATATTGGTTTTAACTCGACTCATGAAACCCATAAGATTTAAACCAGTGTAAGCAGAGAACAGGGGATCCTTCGTTTTCCTGCTAATGCTCAAAACAACAGGCACTAGACACCCTTCTATGTGGCTGCCAGAGGATCCTTTAAAACCTCCTTCTGTCATGTCTGGCAGACTAGTCTGTTGCTGTATCATAAGCAAACTAAGGAAATACGATCTAGATAGAATCACCCTAAGATGCATACACAGCTGGTTGAAAGCTGCAGACAGGTATCAGTGGTTTGCTGGCTGACTAAGAGACATTTAAAGTGGTGTCCCACAAACCTCTGGCTCTGGATCCAGTTCATTTTCAATGGTGCTGTGAATCGGTTGGCTGGTGAAACAGAAAACATACTTTTATATGTTTTTCCAGGTGACCACATGTAAGGTGGGATTGCAAGTGCTTTAGAGGAAAAGATCACAATTCAAAATGAGCTTGACAAATTGGAGAGATGGCATGAAATCAGTAAGACGAAAGGCAGTATAGATAACTGCCTTAAGAAAGGAGAAATTGAAAAGCTTGGGTATGAAATTAGGAATATCTGGCTAGGCTAAGGACTAGCAAATGTTATATTAGCAGGCTGCCCACTTGTGACTTATCTGTCTCCATGGGCCACCACAAGCTACTGCTCTCCTCTAGCACCCAATTCAGTGCTGCCTCTGGCACGTGCTGCTGATTCCCATCCTCAGCGGCAGTGAGGAGGGCTGAGTTTGGCAAGGGTGATGACTCGAAGCAGCACCTGCTGTTAGGAGTGTGGAAAGGGAAGAGGTAGCCAGGGAGGGCTGCAGGGGGGATTGGTGGTGTGATGCAGGACAGATGCAATCACTTTGTCTCAAATTCAGCCCATGGGCTGTAGGCTGCCAACCCCTGAGCTAGGCTATAGTGCTGCAGGAGAAGGTCTGGGGGCTCATGAGAGATTCCAGGCTGAATGAGGGCATGGGTACATGAACAAGTTTCCACGAGGCAGAAGAGGCAGATTGTTTGTCATGCATGAGCTACTTTGCAGTTAATGCTCGTGTGCACTCTAGGGGTTGTGCAAAGCTTTGGTAGCCAATTTCTATTGGGAGGAGATTCAGCCCGATTCGGAGGCTGACTCTCCAAATCCGAATTGAATTGGGAGACCCATTAAAAAATCTGAATCGAATCGGAAGCCTTCAAATTGATTTGGCACCAATTTGGAGATTCAGCCATAGACTGAACAGTCAGCAGTCCTCGACCACGCTGGACACAGCTGCCTCCAGCTGGTAAGTCTGTGGTGGGCGGAGGCAGGAGGGAGCAGATCAACACTGCCAGGGCAAGGAGACCGGATGGTGCCACTGCACTGACTTGGACAAGTGGCACACAGCGGTGGAAGCCAATCCAGCCTCCCTGCGCCTCCCAGACAAGCTGCAACTTTGCCTAGCTGGGGCACGGCAGGGCAAGCAGCGGCAGGGCATGGGGGCAGGCACATGCACTCAGATTGGAGTGGGGCCAGTGGCAGGGTATTTTAGAGTGGTTGCAGGCCCTCCATGGCCTCCACTCGACTGCACTCTGCGGGGCAGGTGGAGCCAGGGCTATGCCGGATCTGGGCTGGGGCTAGTTGCCCAGAGTGCAGCCCTGGCTCCACCTGCACTGTGGAGCACAGCCCAGTGGTGGGAGGCTGGGGCTAGCCTCCTGGAGCACAGCCTGGCCCAGCCCACGCCATGCAGATCCAGGGGCACACCCGCTCCCATGCTCTCCCGGACCATCCGTGCGCAGTGGCGGGAGTCCCGCACCTCACCGCCCCAGCTGGGCAGCTTGTCCCAGCCCCTTTCCTCCCCTCTTCCACCCACCACAACAGACTTACCAGCTGGAGGCAGCTGTGTCTGATGTGCTCGAGGACTACGGCCCGTTTAGTCTATGGCTGAATCTCCAAATCGGTGCCGAATCTTCAAATCCGATTCGGCCAAATTGAATTGGGACAGTGAATTGAATCACTGTCCCTCCGAATCGGCTGAATCTGAATCCAGATTGAATACTTGCCGCTTCACACAGGCCTAATGCACTTTTATCTGCTCATTTTTATGAGGAAAGGCTGATGAAATTGGGCTAGTTTTAGGAAGGAGATGACTAAGGAGAGAACACAAGTCTTCCAGTACAGAAAAGGTTGTATTAAAGTCATTGAGAACAGCCACCAAGCAGACAAGGAAAATCAGCTTAACATGCAGCGAAGATGCCATGGGTTAAATGGGGGACTTTGTTAGGCAGGTGAGGCTCTAAAAGAGGCTGTCTATGAAACCATGAAACCTCCTTTGTTGGAGGTTTGCAAGAACAGGTTAGATGGCCATTTCTCAGGGGATGGTCTGGGTACGTTTGATTGTGCCTCTGGGAAGATGCGTAGACTAGGTGACCCCCTGAGCTCTCGTCCAGCCCTATGCATATACAGTTAGTGTGATAGAGCCTGGACGGGAAGTGAACTAGAAATGACGGCAGGTTTGTTAGTCTCATTCTGTTGCCCAGGCTGGTTTATGTGCTAGAAATAAATTGCATCAGGATGTCACACAATGTGTATTAAAGGTATCTAGCCACAGCCAGAAACTTGGTCTCCCTAGCCCACCTTGTATATACTAAACTCTGAATGGGAGAGGCAACTGATGATGTATCTTAGCCACATGCTGACACCCTTTTCTTGTTAAGCAAGCAAAAGCTTGAACAAAGGCCTTTGGATGCGAGCTGTGTCCTCCTGGATATTTTTAGTCTGTGCTCTCGGATACTGCAGCAAATCCCACTTAATGCTCAAGTGTATTTCAAAACGTGCCATCTGTTTGGCTGGGAGCTGCTGAGCCTCTGATGGGATAAATGGGGTCAAAGTTGCCCCAAGGTCTTTGAACCTGCATCCAAAAGCGTAGACTCATACATGTGCAGGGGCAGTCTTACTCCCAGACTGAAAATGCATGTTGCTGTTGGTTTTCACACCTTACTCTTTCCTTCTCCGACTTCACTGCCTCTTCTGGTTCTCTCGTCTTATTCTGGGTTCCTGCTCACTCTGTTTCCCTTCCCACAGAGCCACATCTCCGAGGCCTGATGAGGCACAGCCTCCTGTTCTACCCAGGAGATCTTGGCCAGTCAGGCCCGTAGCAGCAACCTGGGCACTGCTCTCCCCACTTCATGACAGCTGGAGGGATTGTGGGACTGTCTGGTAAACATGGGAAGTCTGGATGTGGGATTCCTTGGTCACAGGTGCCAGAGGTAGGTACACCTGCTACTATCCTCGTCTAAGGTTTGGCTTCCCCTCATCTCTTTCCACAGATGCTGCAGCCCCAGTTCAAGTCCCATAACACTAATGAGGTCCTGAGCAAGCTCTTCCAGATTGTGCCTGGTGAGAACCCATACAGCTACCGGGACCCCCAGAAGTGTCGGCGCTGTGCTGTTGTGGGCAATTCGGGCAACCTGCGCGGCTCTGGTTACGGGCGAGAGATTGATGGGCATGACTTCATCATGAGGTGAGTAGCTGGTGCTCTAAAGCTCTCTATAGCAGAGTGGGGAAGGGAGCCACTGGCACAATTCATCCAGGTCAGCGAGCTGAGTCGGGAGGTGCCACATCCCAGCCTCTGCACTGGGCTGGCTGTCACTTCAGATAACGCCTGAGCAGAGGAGGCGGACTTGACCCTCTTCCTCGCAAGCTGCTGGTTCAGCTAGCTAGCACTCACTCCTCCTCCATGCATTTTAAAGCAAGTTTCTATCCTCCAGGCAGAGGGATAGTTTTTCCCCTCCCCCACCCATCTTTCCAGTTTGTGCCTGGCCTGGTTCTGGCTGTTTCAGCCCTCTTTCCTCCTCTGCTGTTCTCCTTGTCTATCAGCTCTTTGTCTTCTCATTAATTTAAATTTCCCTGAAGCTCGGGGGAGAGGTGGGACAACCGTGTGCACTGGGCTGTAGCCTGTCAGTGGGGGAGCAGCTTTTAATCCAGTTACAGAGGAAATGGCAGGATATGAAGTATAGAGAGCTTGGCTTGAACTTAACCTAGAAAAGCTGAGAGCAGCTGCAGAGGGAACACTGGACCTGACCTAAGACAGCAGTAGTCTTGTAACACATGATGTTAAAATCCTCCCATCTCTGAAGCCAGGTGGGAACAGGGGTACATCTGTAACATACCCATGGCCCAGCCTTGCAAATCTGCTCACAGAGCAGTTCCTTTATAGAAGGAACCCCTCACCCAACATGTCATTCTGAAGGGAGGAGGAGGA